GGATGTTTTTGGACTTAAATACATTCAGTAAGCATGGCCTGAGTCCTTGCTTTGTGCCAGAAAGCAAAGATAAAAGATGAAATCAAGACTGAAGAGCCAGTGTGCCCTGAGATGCTCTCTCATGCCTCCCTCCCACCTTAGGGCTGTACTTTGTCCCCTCTGTTCGGACAGCTCTTCCCCTGGACATCTGCCTGACTGACCCACTCTCACTTCTCTGCTCAGATCTTCTCACAGAGTCTGGCTCTACTCACACGACTCCATGCTGGGACCTACCTGTCTGCTTTTGCAAATCATTGATTACTTAACCCACGATATAAATTACTTACTATATTTATTGTTCATTGTCTGTTTCCTTTGTTAGATTTTTCAGTTCCTCAAGGGGAGGGATCTTTGTGGCCCCCCCATTATCCTAAGTATCTAGGACAGTGTGGTAGGTTCCCAGCATGCTGGTAAACATGTGCTGCTGCAGCTCATCATCTTAGCTATTTCACTTTCTGCATTGCTTTTGAAATTGGCCACATGCTCTGAGTGTCATGTGCAGTCATACAAGGCTTAATGGCCCATCCTGTTTTAGAAAATAACAGCTTATTTGTTATCTACATCCCCCGCATCTGAGGCATCCTGCCTTGGCCTTAACCATTGCCTGGTATGTCTCCAGAACTCTTATTTTCTTCACCAGGGCCTGGTGCAGGTAGTTCTGCTGGTGGGAAAGTGGGTTAAGCTGACAGTACCTTCAGTCACTGAAGCCAGGTGTGTAGAGGGTGTGCCATGGTCAGCGAGTGTCCTCAGGGCAAATTCTGTGTCCTCTCTCCCATCCTTTTATCTCCTTCCCTTTGCATGGGGGCTAAAATTGCCAATATGAGAATCACATTTTATTTCGTTTTTCTCTGAGCCAGTAGAACCCTATGTTATGTTCTTTGGAGAGAACCGCTTCCATGTTTCATATAGATAAAGAGTGTGCTGAATGTGCAAGGTGGGTGTTATATGCCCTTGGGTGAGGCAGCTATTGAAAGACAATCTTCTGGCTCTTTCTGCCTTAGGCTGCTCAGATCCTGGCATCCCATTCCGCCACATACAGTCCCATTCAGCCAGGGTTCTATATTTTCTCTCGTACACAAGGAAATGAGCTCACTGAAAGCGGGGATATAGGGGTATGGGAATAAAAATATATTCCTCTGTCATCTGTAAGCCATCCAGTGGGGCTATTTCTCAAAACAGTGGTTTTAACTCTTACTTTGAGATCCTTTTATTAAAGTCATGCTAATGCAGAATATTGAGATAAGTGAGAATCTGCCCACGTTGGTTTGTGTAGTGCATTGAAACCTGCTAACATGAGAGATTACTTATGAGTGTGAGTCCATACCCACCTCCATCCTGACCTACACAGCCCTCGCTGGCTGCTCCTACAGACTCTGACAGTAGATTTCAGCTGGTTTCAAATCTAAAACATAAAGCATGCATTTGGCGTGGCTTATTTTAAATCTTGATCAAAATCCCTCTAAACAGAAAAAAAAAAAAAAAAAAAGCCTGAGGCATGCTGTTATTACATTTTTCACACTCAGCATTTGAGTGTCCCTTCCTGGTGGTTGTTCCCTGTCTAGAAAGCAGGGCTGCAATAAATCACAAACATTGACTATACTGTGCAGAGGTCACATAAATTGTGACCTGATACCAGATTACATACCTCTGCTGGGCCCATTGGTCAGAACCTACAGCTGTCTCCTTGTGGCAAATAGTACTAGTGCAAGTAATTTGCTTTGCTTCACAAATTCCTGCATTTATGAATTCTGTTTTCTTTCAGAATGTACCTTCTCATAACATTCTTCGCCTTCCTCCCTGCTTAAATAAGCTTTTGCTGTGAACTTGGAGGTTTGTCTTGTTAAGCCCCAGAGTGATGGGGTAAACCATCCAATTTATGGTGCTGACTTCTCATTCTGCCTCTGTCCACCACTCTGATGCTGTGAGATAGTTGGGTCAGTTATGGGATCCTAGAAGGCCTTTGAGATCTGTCTTGAACTTCTGACCAATCCGAAAAGTTCATCAGGACATTGTGGAGATTTTTACCCAGGCTTGAAAATTTAAGTGTTTGTCCTCTGTGTTTTAGTAGGAAATGAAATATTTCTAAAAGATGTAATCAATATAATCGATTAAAGAGATGTCTGGAAAAAGCAAATGTGCTAATTGTTTAAAATCAGATTAGCCTAACCACTTCTCTTATGGTCACAGAATATTCATTTGCATATTAAATTATGTATTGCAACACAGTTCTCCCTCTCATGAGCATTTATATTCTCAATAAATTATTGATTTCTTAAAAACATTTTTCTGTTAATTTTGGTTATTTTGTACCCCTAAAAATGTGTAAGAGAAAGTTGTCCTAATTAACAATTTATGTATCCATGGTTTTTTTTGAAAATGAAATTGACAAAAAGAGACAGGATTCTCACCTTTCTTGTTTTTTTAGCAGGAGGGTTCTGACCCTGAGCTGGCCTGGCCACTTTAGGAATTCACAGGCACGCTCTGAGGGGCCCATGAGTAGGGAGGCTGCCTTGCCCAGAGTGGAGAGGAAGGCTTTTCTCCCTCCTTTCCCCAGTCTGTTCTTTGAAGGGAATGACTTGATCTTCTCTCATAGAGCTGCAGTGACAGTTAAGTCCAGGGTTGCAGAATAAAACATTATTTGAGGAGAAGCTTTCTGCCAGGTGTCTGTTTCTTTCTGCCTCTGTCCTCTAGAATCACAAGGCTATGGTAGGCAAGTTATATTTTCTTATTTAAGTGAAATGTTTGTTCAGATGCTTTTGTTAAGGCTTCTGGCTCTATACACTTCTTTCTGTGTTCTTTTTTCAAAAATGGGAAAAGGGTCCAGTGTCTTTATATGTATACCCTAAGTAAAGCTGTCATACACCCCTGATTCAAATAGGAGTTATTTAACTAGAGGGAGGGTATTTTGTTTTCCGGCAACTAAGTTAATGTTGATATTCTAATACAATTTTCTTTGTCATAAATATGGAACTCTTCTATTTAACTTGTCAATAGATTCTTTGATAAATTTGATGTCAGTCTTCTCTGGTTTCTAGGTGAATGCATCTTTGTCTACAAGAGGCATTCGATTAGTAAGCATTTCTTCTCTGAGTTAGAAAAAAAAATTAGAAATTCTGAAATTCAACAACAAATAGTGCCTTAACATCTGCTAAGTAGCACTCAAAAAGGGGAAAATGTTTTACCTGTGGCAAATAAGAGTGCCAAATATGACATCATTTACATATCCAGGTTTTGATTAGTAAAAAACAAAACAAGCAGATGTTAGCAGTACAGCTGGCTCTTGCATATATGTGTATCTTTGTTGCTAACAAATTTCCATGAGGAGGGATGTAGCATGGTCTGAAGGCTCAGATAGGAGAAAATGACATGGTCTGATAGCTTGAAATGAGAAGCATAATTGCATGATGGATTATATCTTAATGTTTTGAGGTCTTGAGTTTATAACATTCAGTATCAAAGCAGTCCTTAGTCTCTGAATAGAGGAGGACACAGGGAGGGGATAAAGTGAACTAGAAATAGGCTTTATTTCAATTACTTGGGTATAGTGTACCTAAAACGTCAAGTTGTTTAACAAAATATTATCAGAATACTTTATAAATGTATTATTCCTTCTTACCAATTTAAGTAAAGGACCACTATATTTTTACCATGAAAATTCCATGCAGTATACAAACAGTGTGTGGAATTACTGTAGTAGAAACATTGTTAAAATATAACTTTGAATTAAAAACAAAACGTGTGTTATATAATGGATAACATATTATACATTGTTAAAATATACCCTTGCAATTAAAAACAAAACAAGCAGGAAACCTTTGTTTAATTATGTATGCAGAACTTTCTCCCAATGACTTTATACCACCTAAAGCATGGCTGTGATTTTCAGGAATACCTGCTCTGGAGTGTTTCTTGCTTGGAGGTGTTTGTGTTCATCTGTTTCTCCATCAGTTGGTGGCATGTATGATGTAATGCCTATACGTTATTCTGTCCTGTCATAGTTTGATTCATATTGAAGTTGTAACTGTGAATTTGTTACAATGTATTGCAGGAGACTACTTGTAATTTGATGATCAAATCTGATATTGAAGATAGTAAAGAATGTAGGCATAAGTGAAATATAAATCAGAAATTCCACATTGCTTTGTCTTCTGTAAATTCCATAACTTTCTAGTCCCAGTGTTCTCTGATTGTAAGGTGAAAGTTAAATGCTGCCTCTTTTGAGTTTTGCCAAAGTTTTTGTTTTAGTCCTATTCCTAATCAGAAGAATCGTTGGAGAAATAAGACCCAGAAAAGTTGGTTCTCACTAGTAGTTTTTCCCCATTAATTCAACCCAGAAACCCTGTATATGAGAATAAGGGAATGGAGGGAGAGGATTTATGTAGATAAACAATCTAGGATGCTTGGAAAGATGTACTTACTTGACCTCATTGCACGATCTGATTGGAGACTGGTCCATGGATTGTATGGGATTACTGCTTATCAGAGTGCCCACCTGGTATCAAGTTTTTGCAAATCCACATCGTGTATGGTTTTAGGATATGTTTCACCAGTGTGAAAATTTAGGCTCCACCTCTGTTGGCGGGCAGTTAGCAATTGCTGGTATCTAAACTGGTTTGAGACTTACTACCTCCTTTGAATGGCATCTGTGTAGTAGAGCTAACGTCATTGACATGATCTGTGCTTGGAGTTCCTACAGATTTTTTTCATAAAATTTTTTTTGGTTAAATTTTCCAAAGTAAGTAGAGAGTGATGGTTATAACATTTGTTTATTCAGGCCCCTCTAAATCTACCTAAGAGGTAATACGTTAGCATAGGTATTAGACAAGGCTGCATTGTGAAGTCAGAGTGACTGTCTGGGGTTGTCATTGTCATCTTTCCAGCTTTCTCCTAAAGAAGAAAACTGACATAATGCTCTCAGACTCAGCACATGGGACCAGTGCCACAGCAAGCACTGGTTCTAGCCTGCTACTTTTTTTTTTTTTTTTTTTTTTTTGTAAAATGCGGGTTTCAAATTACTCAAGGGCATTTATAAGATTAATTTTTATGATATTAGATATTATGCTATGTTAAACTTTTAACTAGTGTGAATCCTAATTAAACACTGATGGTTTTATTTTTATTCTATTTTTAAAAATAATATTTGAGGCCAAGTACAGTAACACACACCTGTAATCCTAGCACTTTAGGAGGCTGAGGTCGGCGGATCACTTGAGGTCAGGAGATCAAGAGCCTGGCCAACAGGGTGAAACACCATCTCTACTGAAAATACAAAAATTAGCCATGTATGGTGGTGCATGCCTATTACCCCAGCCACTAGGGAGGCTGAGGCAGGAGAATCACTTAAACCTGGAAGGCAGAGGCTGCAGTGAGCCAAGATTGTGCCATTGCACTCCAGCCTGAGTGACAGAGTAAGACTCTGTCTCAAAAAAATAAAAATAATAAAAATAATTTTCATTGCTTAAGATTTTTTAAAATTAGTAAACAATTCATTTGAAGTTTTTTTTTTTGTTTTTTTTTTTTTTGGATTCTTGTGTTCCAACTATGGAAACATAGCTGAATATTTGCGGCATCATTAATGTATAATTTCAAAGGATTGCTACTTAAATCTTACCATGTTCTTTCAGGTAGCAAAAAATAAGTTTGCTTATTTTTGATTCAGAGGTGTTTGAAGAAGCTAGAAGAAGATGCTTTTATTGCTAAATAAGAAGGAATATCTGTGTACCAAGGAATGGGATATAATGAATTTGGTTAGAATATATCAAAGTACATACTATAGTTTTGTCTAACACTTCCCTGCGGGTCTGTTTAACTTTTGAAAATGCCTTCTTCAAAATAAACCTTAAACATTTGCAGACTTACTCTTTGCTAATTATTCTGCCAGGCAGTTTTTTTTTTTTGAGACAGTCTCACTCTGTCGCCCAGGCTAGAGTAAAGTGACACAATCTCAGCTCACTGCAATCTCCACCTCCTGGGTTCAAGCAGTTCTCCTGTCTCAGCCTCTTGAGTAGCTGGGACTACAGGTGCACGCCACCACACCTGGCTAATTTTTGTATTTTCAGTAGAGATGGGGTTTCACCATATTGGTCAGGCTGGTCTTGAACTCCTGACCTCAGGTGATCCACCCACCTCGGCCTCCCAAGTGCTGGGATTACGAGCATGAGCCACTGCACCCAGCCCTGCCAGGCATTTTATAGACATTTTTCAACTGACCCTCACAACCACCTTGCAAAGATCCCGTATGATAACTTTTTGAGATTAAAAAACTGAAGCTCATGTGATGTTGTAAATATTTAAAAAGAAAGGGGACTTCATAGTAATGGCGCATTCACAAGATTCAAGAACATTCTGGGCAAGGCAGGCAGTCGTGGGGATCTGCTTAAGCAGTTCTTTGTGAAGTGATCGGTAACTGAATTCTGCTTTTTGGGTGGTCTTCAGTTACGTCTGCTTTATCTGTTAAGTTTCACTAGTTATTACATTCATACAACTCCAGAAATTTGCCTCAAATTTATATGTGACTTAGAACATTTTTTTATTGTAAATATTTGAAAGGATTGAATTACAAAGAGATGGATAAGGCCATGAAGCTAAGACAAAGTTTTGGGTGTGTGCGTGTAAATGCAAATTTTCTCAGGAAGAAATACACCATGATCTGATAACTCAAAAGCTATATAACATTGATAAATAGATTTACCTTCATTCCTGTTGCTTTTGAAGAAGTTTAATGTCTTGCCTTAAATGTTTCCCTGAGTTTCAAGTTTTCTTATTTTAGACTCATAATTATATCATTTTGATTAAAATGGAGTGCGGACTGGAGTTATTGCTTGCTTAAAAGCCAAAGACTTGAGGCTGTCCAGCATGAGAATTGTGTATTTTGGCATGTGGATAGCGGCTGCTTGAAATCTGTGAGAGCAAGAAACCTGAAGTTGACTCAGATGAATCTCAAAGTCTTATACCTGAATTATGTTGAGGTTAGCAGTAAGCGCCATCTAAAAAAAGACTACGTAGATTGCCAAATTCCTTTGAATGTCCACCATATTTCTCAGGAAAGTCGGTCACTTCCAAATTTATAACATTTGTGTTTCTGTTACCTGAATTCCAAGGGGAGAGGGGTGGATGAGGGGGTAAATGAAAGGCACAGGTGATTTTATTTTCAGGTGTCTAATAGGACAATGTGACATTGTCCAGAGATTGTCTCTCAAAGGCAGTTAGTGTCAACAGAACTTCTTGAATACATTTATTTTTGCTTATTTATATGTTTTCCCATTGAAAAAAAAAAAAAAAACTTTAAAAAATGTTTTCTGAGTTAAAAAGGCCTCTGACTGGTAGTCCTGACATAGCTTCTCCAGAGTTCCTGAGAGAGCCTCTTCTCACTACAGTCCCTAAGAAGATAGGAAGAAAAAAATTCTAAACACATGAAACTGGAATTGGTGGGGAGAAATGCCTACTGTAAATTCAACAGAACCGGAGTAAAAAAATATAATAGGATAAGTTTTGACCACCTAAAAATAGCGGGACAGACCCATCTCCTCCCTAACTCTCTCCATAATTCAGAAAGGTCCTGTGGAACTGTCCTCAGGAATTGCCCCCTCCGCCCCCTGTCTCCCTCCCACTCCTCCCCCCCAAGTCCTCCCCCCTGCATCCCATACCTTGTCCTCTCTGACAGGGCCTTTTTAATCAGTAGGAGGTCACAATTCAGAAAATAACCAGAGAGAGCTGGAATGGTAAGTTAGGGGCTATTACTGTTACATCCCAAGAATCTGATCCATGAAAATAAAGTGCTGGAGGTGGTGTAGAGTTAGAAAGACTTGTGTTCACTGAGGGTTTTGAGTATTACAGGCTCTCTGTCACTCAGAGCCTCAAAAAGCCAGGCGGTGAACGCAGGAGAATTTTCTCTCAGATTCACCAAAACTAGGTTGAAATGAAAACCACTTTGGAATTGGCCTGTTCATCTCAACCTGCCAACTATAGGTCTATAATCAGCACCCAGTGGGTCCCTTGGCTCAGAGCATTCACCAGGTGTGGGTAGATCGTTCCTTGTTTAGTGATAAGTAAACGGGAAAAACGTAACCAAGCCTACTGAACCAGATCCATCTATAAAAGAAAAAGGGAGACCGTATTGGAGATTTAAAAGAAGAGTAGACCTCCAGAACTGATTTATTATGATTTATTTCTATTACAATATTTCCGTTTATTATTATGATTCATTTCTGTCCCTCATGAAAGGGGCAGAAAGTAGTCAGAAGGTTATGAGCGGAAAAGACAGTAGGATAGGATGAAATCGGAGTGAAACAATCAAAAAAGACTAAGTTAAAACTGTAATAGCACATTAAAATTCATGCGAGGGGGGTAATGAGCTGAAAATAAATTCTGTGTTGTGAGGGAGAAACAAGGAAAAGCTCTTTCAGAATCTAAAGGATAAAAACATAAAATGAGGGGGAAGACGTATAGAGAGAATATCTAACAGGAGAATTACAGGTGTTTATAAACAGGAAACCACCTCGAGTGAAATAGAACAACATCATTATAAGTTTTCATGCATGCATGCAGATTTGAAAGCGTTCCCCATATTTTTCATGTGAAATCAATGAAAAATATGAGCATTTCTTTTTAATAATTAATAAAGTACCTTGCCAAAATAACTGGCAAGCTATTTGCTGCCAGGGAACAAAGTTGTTTTTCTTCTCCTTTCTAGCATTAAATGCCAAAAAGATAGAGTATTGAATTTAGCAGAGCTTTGAGGAGAAAAGATGGTGACTTAAGAACTTACTGAGCTTCCTCCTTATATTTTATGTGGAAAGGCAAATTGAGAGGCATTTGCTGATAAACAGGAGCTCATGTTCAGATGGGAGGACCTAAAGGTTGCCTTTTTATTGTCAAGTTTTATGATTTGAAAAGGTATAAATTTAAAAGTAATTCATTTTGGTTAACTTAAAAAGTAATTACCAAAATAATAAAACTATATAGTTTTATATAAAACTATATAAAAAGTAATTACCAAAATAATAAAAAATATATATATCTTCTAAACACCTAGAAATATATATTCCAAAAGATAGGCAACAAAGCATAAAAATATTGCAGACAGGGAAAATGTTTACTGTGTATGAATACTGTAAAGAAATACAGACATAAACATAGGTATGTACATATATACACATAGATACACACACATAAAATTGACCATATACCTATATTTGTTCAGCACATTATTTTTCAGGTACTGTGCTAAACTTTTACTCCATCGACTGGTTACTTTTTCTAAGAATTCTATGACACTGGCCTTATCATACCTGTTTTAAAGATAAAGTTTAGTTAGATGCTGGCCCAAGGTCACACAGCTAGTGGAGGAGCTGGGATTTGACTCCAAACAGCCCGACTGTCGAGCCAGTGCTCCTAAGCAACTCTGCAGTACAGCGAAAGGGCCGGCGGGGGTTAAGTTCACACTGCTTGATGCTGCTGACTTCTCAGCAGCCACAGGGCACCCTGGAGCCAAAGGCAGATGACTCCCTGGCTTGCCAGTGACGTATGATGCGGTCTGATATGAAAAAGTGAGTTAAACAAGCAGATTTTTCCTCTCAGGAAACAGACCCAAGAAAAACTAAAAAGAATAAAGCAGATGTGTGAGTTACTATTCCTTGCAGCAAAAGAACCTCGTCAGAACCACAGGCTGGAAAGAGGTGATTCCTTTTAAAGGGCAGTTCATTCCTTCCGCATGTTGAAGCCTATGGCTCTTCACTGGCTAAAACTGTAATCTTTGGTGTAGCCCTCACTCGGCTTGTGCATCTTAATGTTGTAGATAACATTGTAGATCTATATAATACTCAATTTTTATATATATATCATATATAAATTAATGTTTACATATAAATATATATGTATTTGTATATGATATGTAATATGTGTTTTTATATGATAGTATAGAATATGTATTTAATATATACCTGATTTTAATATATATGTATATAATATGTATTTATATATGATATATAGTAAATGTTATATTTAAACCATATCTGATAGTAAGGCAATATAGAAAAGCCATTATTGGGTGCACTGTACAAATCTGCCTTCATAATTGAGTGTGCTGTTTCACTAAAAGCAGTGTTAGAGAAAGGATTGAAAGCTAGCTCTAACTTGCCACTTCACTAGCCTTCATTGTTTGGATTGGCCGTACATGTACAGTTATATTGTAACTGTCACTTGTGGTCTAATCTTCCCCTTAGGGGAAACTTGAGAAACCTGGTCAGCTTTAACATTTAGAGGAAGTTTAAACATATTGGAGCATAAAATTCACAGTTGTTTAACCGAAGCTCCAGTTCTTGTCAGACCACATCTCTCCAGCCCTTCTGTGATTGGAATCATCTAACTTTGGCCCTCACCAAGGAAAAATTTGACAAGATGCAAACAGTGTTTACTCTTGTTTTTTCTTTGCCAGGATCCTGAGTCTGTGCAGCAGACTCTGAGACCTCTTTGCCTGCCCCAGTATGGTCACGGAAGTGCATTGTCACTGTAACTGTTCTTATTCCTGTAACTACTTTCAGTGAATTCCAACCTAGTCGTTAACATCCCTTTAATATTTGGGGTAATTATGTTCCTTAACTCTAAGAATGAAAATATTTTTTCCTTCCTTCCTGTCTTCTTTCCTTCCTGGTTTTGTTGTAGTCTAGCTGTGAGACTAGTTGCCTTTCATATATTCTAGAAGAGAAGGATGGGGTGAGTTTCACAATGATCTTTTTCCAAAATACAAAACCACTGCCCCTCTCCACCTCCCAGGCAACCCCACCATTCTGTTTTCTAGAACACATTTAAAATATTGTTGAGGGTTTTGCTTAGTTGATGACTAGTCTCTTGATTCAGTGGACTCCTAAGGGACCATCTTTCACCAGTACCAAATGCTGTTTAGTTCACATATTGAAATGTTTTAAATTATAACTTAGCAAATGTGTTAGTAATCTTCAGATTATTTGGTCTCACATTTAATGTATAATTTCCTAAGAGAAGGAAATGGACCGGGTGGGGGTTAATAGTTATAGTAGCTATTAATAATACTGATTACTACTAGTTAATAGTAATTGAAGCCTCCTAAAATGAGAGGAAAAAAAATCTTTTGTTTATAAGGGTTAAAATGAAGAGTTGATACTTAATATTTTTTGTAAAACCAGTGCATGTTTGATTAATTTTGTTACCTTATTCTGAGCCTTTCATTTATGGGTACGTAGTTGAATGATTCTGAATTTTTGATTTGCTGAAAAGGTGGCGGTTGCAATTGCTTTTTACATTACTCTTTTTAGTTCATTACATCTGGTTGCTACATTTTCCTTTTCTTAAATACATGCAAGATGAAATGTTTGACCTATGAGATGAAAAATTTAAAATTTCTTCCATGTGATCCTTACACATTTGCAGGCGTGCATCGAGCATTTGCTTCGTGCCAGGCACTGTGCGCTTTCTGCTCTACCTGCCTGATCTCACTTAGTCCACTTAGTCCTGTTTACGGGTTGAGTCTTAGAAAGAAGAAGAAACTTGCTCCAAGTCCAACACTAGTGGCTGGTGAAGAGCGTGTCTTTGCATGCAGACTCCCTCACTGAAGGATGGTGCTTCTTAGCCTCACACTGTACCACCCTCAAAGTGAGTTGCAGGAGGAAAGGACCCTCTGGCTGTATTAACTAAATCTTAGCAAGTAGTTGCCTGTAAATTGTAGACTTTTAAGTACAGTCTTGCATTTCTGTGATCTTTACCCATACACCAGTTGCCTTCAAACTAATTTAAGAATCTTACAGATATTAAAAATGCTTGACTGACCAATATCTCATTTCTGTCAAAATCATGTCCTAGAACCATGTATCAAATCAGAGACTTATATGCGACAATTTGCATACACATTTGGACAAAATGCATCAACTTCTTTCAAAGTTTACTTGAAATAAAAATGGAAGAATGTGAAGTATCACAGGTTAAAGCAGTGCCCTCATTTCATTTAGATAAAAGTATTGTGCTATTTGGATATTGTTAGTTTGGTATCTGGAGTCACACTCCCGCAATTCCAACCTAGAAAAATGTTTGTGTTTTAATTGATGGGTTAGGCAAAAATTTAATCTTTGCATAGAGGAAAGAAACAGCTCTTAGAGCACTTGGGGCTACAACATGGATCAAGTATCTGAAGTTTTTCATGTGGCCTCAAGTTGAATCTTGCTCAGAGAATACACAGTGGTCAAACTTCACATCCTACTCATAATGTATGAAGCCAAAGAAAAGTCCTAGTTGCTGAGTGGTTCCGTTCAATCATTACATGTGTTTAATGATTTTATTGCAAGCACGACTTCCAGTGAGACAAGGCAGCAGGCCCTAAAAGAGGTCTTCCATGGGTAGATAGGCACTCAAATGCTTTCCCAGGCTGGACCCAGGAGAAAGGGTAGCTACTGTGATATGGCTTACCACCAGGACAGATCATTCTACCCCCCTAAGGAGTCAGGATATCCCTGGAGCCGTGATGGGGGGTGGAAAGTCACACCTGTGAAATGGAAGGTAAGCTGGGTTGAATGGATAGTCCAAGGCCTGTCCGTGAGCTGAGCCGTGGCCAAGGATTTCTTAAGTCTAGAGGCCTCCTTCTTGAGCTTGCCTTCTTTCAAACTTGGCCCTCAGTGTCTTGGTACGTTGGAGCGTGACTACCCAGGGAAAGCCCCTGGTTTGTATTTAGTCAAGTTTGCCAGAGAAAACTGGATCTAAGCGGGAATAAAATTTGCTGACCCCCATCTCAGAGGTTAACGTTTTCATTTATGTTTTGCATGACTCATTTTAAATTACAGTGCTCTACAAGTATAGAAAGAAGCCTTCCTCTTCCCACCCTCCCCTAGACACCGCATAATGGAAAAAGCAAGAATTTTCTGCATAAGCAAGGCCTTTAAAAAAAAAAAAGCCAGCCTCTGATGGGACTTCTTTCCTGTCAGAATTCCCACTGGTTTACTGTCGCAATTTTTACGAAAGGCCACGATGAAAGAGGAAGGCCCATTTGAGCCCTTTGCTTCTGTATTATGTGAAACATAAGTTGTATTTCTGTTCTTGGTATCAGAAGAATTGTTGTTTTGTGAACATGTAAAATCTAGGCTCTCTGACAGTTAAAGTATAATTTTGATTAAGAAAAGATTTGTTTCACCGCTATGATTAGACACATAAAACTTTGAAAGGTTTTGATGTTCTGTTTCCTGTTTTTAAAAAAATATGTCCTCTCTTATGAACTCTAACTATATGAGAGGATTTTCCTCAGAGAAAATTCAGCGCTGGGAAGAACCATCTATGGAGGTCATAACCTAGAAAATTCTTCAGGGGAAGTTCCAGTGAATTAAAAGAGGGTGGAGCTAGAAAGTTCTGTCTACCAAATTTGTGCGAATAGTTGTACCTTTCTTTCTTTCCCAGAATGGTCACTGGAGAAAATATGTGTAAACCAACTGCAAACAAGTATATCCATTGCAGCCTTTCTTTTCCTTTAGTGGCAGTTCAACTTGTTAACCAGAAGAAGCTGCTGTAGCAAGACTACCTCCCAGCCCAGGGCTTCAGCATAAAGGAGCTGCTCAATTAATTTTAGTGGATCAGGAGCAGAAATAAGTTACCACTGGAATGCAGATTTTGAATAGTCTGCCATGAAACGATTAAATGAATGAGAATAATGAGGAGCTGCTTAATTGGAACTATGTAGAATTGCTCCTTAAGCTTCATGGACAATTGAGTAACTTCAGTTTCCTCTCTTCACTCTTGTTTACTTCCTGCTCTTCTAGAATCAAGTGTTAGGTATTCTGGTCTCTTACAATGAGAAGATTAAACAGCTGTAGTTTAAATTAAAGCATTAATCTGGAGTGTTCTGTGGCTGCATGATATTCCCTACTAAGATTAAATTGCAGATGCATATAAGCAGCAATATATGTTTATCTAGGGCAAACCAAAATTCTGTTAACCAGCCATCCTTGGTGACTTTTTATTTATATATAAAAACATTTTTAAATTGACATAATTTAACTTGATTTTCCCCCCAGTTAGGTAGAAGAAAGAATCTGATGCAGAAAACAGTTGTATGGAGTGTATTTGTACAGTTACAGGACTTGAGTGACAGTAAATTCTTTTTTTTGCCCCAGTGGGATTCAGCAGAAAGCATGTGTTTGAAAGTCTCTTGACAAAATGGGTCATAATTAAAGACTTTGGGATTTATTTATGGGTATTTTAATTAGAAACATTAAGTTCACTCAGTGGTTCTTGTGAAAACTTTTTTCGAACTACCTATTTTATATCAAGTAATAAAATTTCTGTGTGTATGAAGATGAGTTTTAGGGTCACCGGTTTCTCCAGGACCCCTCTCTGCTGCAGAGAGCTTTTCTCTTTCTTTTGCCTATTAAACCTCTGTTCTGAACCAAAAAAAAAAAAAAAAAAAGGAGCAGCTAGGCACTGTGGCACATGTCTGTAGGCCCAGCTACTTGGGAGGCTGAGGTGGGAGAATCACTTACCGTTTGTTACCCTTCTGTAATAAAAAAAAAAAAAAAAAAAAAATAGGAGTT